ACATCTTGATATTTAGCTAACTGACAAATTTCGCAGTTAAAAAAAGATGGATTTTTATGAGTAAACATGAAATAGTACAAATGTTTTAAATAATGAAAATTGGGCTGAACTAAACGACAATGTAAAAACATCGTAGGACATGCAGTAGAAATAGAAACTACAACTACGAGACTGAGTGTTGGTGTCATCAATGCCATTTAAAAAAAAAATAGAGCCAGACTACCAGCTCAGCAGTTCTAATCATCCTCCCCGAACTACGATCCTAAAGGACTCAAACATCAGGGAAAAAAATGAGCAACGCAATCAAAATCATATGTCAACTTACTGCTGACAAGAGATTGCACTTAAGTAAGAAAATGTGTAACACAGATTCCAAAGTCAACTCGGCTGCAAGTACAACAAACCCTTTACCAGCAATGAAATTAAAAGAGTCATCGGCAATTTTAATTGTATCATGCCCGGAGAAAATAGAATACGTCAAGAAAAAATGAAAACTCTCGGTCATATGATCTGTGGCACCTGAATTAAGAAAAAATGAGAACTCTCGGCCAGAATTACCTACGTCTGAGTAGGTGTCGCGAACGCAATCCAGAGGGCACATGCAGATAAAAGACACAGATACAAATAACCAATCGAGATTTCTATGGAATTAATCAGACATAACATGACCATGGAGTTTTTCACTTCCCACGCTACATTGTCTTCAAAGGTTCACAAATCATACATGTGAGATGGTTGAATTTACCTCGACCTTTGACAAACAGCGAAACAGCTTGAGACCATTAGAGGAAATTAGAGACATTGAGTTTGCAAGCGGTAATCAGAAAATTCCCCTGGTTTTCATGTCCTCCGGCCTGCAAAGAGGTTAAGGTAAGTGTTGATCCTCCAGCGGACTCGAGGACGGCGTCAAATGGAAACTCGGTGGTGCAGGAATCTTTCATGGCTCCAACTATGCCAAAGATGAGATTTGAATGCAAAGATAGAAGGAAGTGATCCCTTACTTATTTGTCAACACAAAGGGCCCGTAGGGTTTGATTCTAGCTAGCAGAAGGGAGATCCGGCGGTTCTAGAAGGAGCTTCGATCGGCATGAGGGAGGTCCAACGGCAAGAAGACCTGTGAGATTCCAGTCGGCGGGAGTGAAAAACCAGCTACAGGAAGGCCTGCATGGGAGTGATTCTGCTGCTGGAAATAGTTTCGGTGGCCTTAGAAAGGAGTCCAGCCGGTAGGAGGTAGGTCCAGCCGGCGGGAGTGAAAAACCAGCTACGGGAAGGCCTGCATGGGAGTGATTCTGCTGCTGGAAATAGTTTCGATGACCTTAGAAAGGAGTCAACAGGGAAAGTTTCGACAGCTAAGGTAAGGTCCCAACAGCTGGGGTAAGATGTCGTCACTCTAATACCATCCAGGAATTCAGTGAAATAATTTTATTGATATCAGAATGGGGATAAATACAGAATACAGGAGTTATAAAATAGGGAAGGCATAACATACAAATCTCTAGTATTAAATTAATTCCTAATAATTACCCAGATATAAAAGAAAAGTCATAAACAAGGAAATACATAAACTAGAAAATATCCGAAAAGAAAATAAATAAATACTAATAACTTCTAACAATTATTAATGGCTTTGAACATTAAAGAAATTGTAAAAATATGAAAAGCATGGAATTAAGCACCACATGGCAAAAGTGGACATGTCATTGCAAGAACATAATGAATAAAGGAAAATGGAAAGAGAAGCTACGTTAACAAAATAAATTTGTCCTCATACTCGCAATACATGCTCAACTAAAAAGGCAATTATGTGAAGCAGATGATTGCACAAGAAATATTTAACTACATATCCAAGCCCTATGAAAATTTCCTCCTCATCATTCCTTTGATGTCCTTCCTCACCCTCTCATGATATTAGTTAGGTAAATTTACATACATACCACACAATTCTTATGTATTTACATATCTAAATGCCCCTATTATCCTTATTTACGCAGGAAGAAGTCCAAAATGTACTTGAAATTGCTTCTGTTCTCATGGAAGTTCTAAATATTATCATTTAGTGATGGTCATGAGAATATATCTTTAAGCAGTCATCAATCTGAAATCTGCTTTAATCAGCAGGTTTTCTATGCATATTATCTGAAGCTCAATCAGCATTTGCTAATGTAGACAACATTGATGATCGTAAACAATTAACATGCATTGGTTGTTTGATAGTTATAAAAGCTTTCAAGATTTTCATTGGCAGCAAATGCCATTGGTAGTGTACTGAATTCTAGCTTGAATGAGAGACAATGGATTAGAGTTCTAAATATTGAAATAGGAAGTGAAGAGCTGGGTAATATCATGCCCATCCTAAGATTGAGCTCCTGAAACTTCTATAAATATGTTTTGCGTTTTATAGCATATTCCCTCAAGATCATAACTTTAGTAATGATGATTTAGTCCAAATGTGGATTGCATTAGGTTTTATTCAGTCACATTCTCTCCCGGGTGAGACAATGGAAGATACTGGAGTCAAGTTACTTCGGTATTTTGGTAAAGAAATTCTTTGAGGCGAATTAAATTTTCGGGTATACAATGCATGATTTATCACATGAATTAGCACAATCTATTTTTGCACAAGACTGCTTTAATTTGGTGGGGGGATAAAAAGTTAGCTTTTAAAATTCCTAAAATTATTTGACATGTATTTGTTGAAGCTACAAATCCAAGAGTGCTAAAAAAATTTATAAAATTAAAAAAAATGCATTCCCAACAGCTTAAATGTGAAAAAAGTAATTGCAGACATGTTGGAATATCTTAAAATGGAGAAGCCTGATATGAAATCATTTGAAGCACTTAATGGAAGTCTAAAGTTTAGCGTGCTGCCCAAAAAGTTCTTACTTGTTCTGGATAACATTTAAGAGGAATAGGGCACACCCCACTAGCTTATGGAAGTTTTGAAAGTAAGATTTTACTAACAACTTGTATAGATTTTGTTGGATGAATGATTGCAAAGGATATTAAAAAGAAACATTGAAATTCAACGGCTGGAGGAGGATAATTGTTTAGAGCTCCTCAACAGTCATGCATTTGAGAAATTGGAAATTTTGATGAATTGTTTTCATGCAGCATATTATTGTTGCTTGTAGTTTGCCTGTTTCCATGCTGAATAAATTAGAGATCACAAAGGATGGAAAGTTTCGAACTGGATACAAGGCATTAATAACTGTTTCAGCCTTTCGAAATCAATTTACCCTAGAATATTATAGGTTATTTTCTCTCCAAACATCAAATCTCTTCCTCCGGCGAATGAAATAGCTAGACTTGCAACAATAAAGAACATTAAAATTTATGATAGTTCCGTAATAATCTTTCTCAGAGAATGATACAATTGAGATAGACACTAAAATTACCTTATTAAAAGAACAAATCCACGAGATTCCTCTTATTTCATAATTTGGCACAGCATACCTCCTCAGCATTTTTCACATTTTCAATAAGTTTTTTTTTATTATTGGCAAAAATCATTAATATGGTCCAGCTCCCTAATTCTGAAAAGTTTCATTCTTAGCTGAAAACTCATCTAGTCCTTGGAGAAGAGTTAATTTTCCAATCTCTAGCATCCAAGAAAAGTTATCAGCACCTGGCTGAAAGCAAATACGACAACTTGGATCTTGAGCTGCTTCTATGCAGCATTTCAGCCCATCCTCCTTCATGCTTGTTTGTCATCTGACATGAACTTTATTTTGGAAACCAAATCACCAAATTAAATTATAAGGAAGGTTTACATACATACCACCCAATTCCTGTCCATTTACAAATCTAAAGGAGAGCCAAGAAAAAAAAAAAAAAGAGAGACCCGAATTAAGAAAAGAGTTACAGTGGAATTGCAAGGAAAAAAAAAAGAAACAGATAAATGAAAAATACAGAGTTCAGTAGTCAAAGAAAGTCATGCCGCTCTACCAAGTTGCACACTGACCGAAAGAACCAGGCAAAGAAGGGACACAAAGTGTGCCAGCCAGAGGAAGAACGGCAGGCTTCCAAATAAAGACAACATTGCCCAAGGAGTTGCAATGTTCTTTCTCTAGGCGAAAAAAACAGAGTTGTGAAGAAGGAAGTGGGGCGAGACTCTAGAGCTCTACAAATTCGGTGGAAAAGGCAGAAAGCAAGAAAGAAATGGGAGAACTGCATGTGATGGCCATGGAGAAGGCCAATCAAGCCAGAGAGTTACAGAGTGGTATATTTGATGAGCGGAGAAGTTTAGATGTTAGTTTTGTTATATTATAGTTTGGGTGATAGCTTTGTTACATTATAATTTGGGGTATTATGTTCGTAAAATATGTAGTTTTTGGTGGTATGTAAGTACATCCCTCTCAAAGACATTGTCCTTTCAGGTGATAATGCTTCCTAAGAAATGTGCTATACAATTCTTCTTTAAAGCATAAAATATAAGAAAACATTTTAAAACAAAAGAGTCACTAGATTTTACATCAAGCCATGTGTATCCTTGACAATATGTTTCACCAATTTATTTTATCTAACAGAGATTATCGGCATAAATACAGTATTAGTCAAATAAAATTAAACAGTGGATGTCCATGGTACCATGCTATATGTTAATTTTGCATATTCATTAGACTAACTTCAAGCAGATTCAAAAACTTCTTGTTAAAACTCAAGTCGTACAATCTACTGAGTAAAGGAGAGTCAACTGAAATAACTAAAATTAAGAAGAAAATATATTAGAAAGCAAAGCAAGATATGCTCAATTGTCTAAGTAATCTATCTTATTTTTTTTTATCGGTATATCCTGGAAGGCAAATATAGCGCTTCGATCAAGACGTTCAAGCAAGTATATAGACTTAAAGCACAAGATGACCCAATAATCTACTTTCTTTAATTGTGAAACACCTGGTGTTCAATAATACTTTATACATAAGAGAGACATGATCACATCTAAAAGGATCAAACATAATCCCAAAAACCTTCAACAAACACAAAGAGCACAGAGAACATACGATAAAATCACGAGCCGCCATTGGGAAGTGCCGCCATGAATGCACTGTAAGATGACTCCAGATCAAAGAGCAGCTGTCTCGCCTGCTGCTCCGTTAGCTCATCAGCCGCTCCCATTTTCGCTAGTCTCGCTATCCACTCCCTCATCTTTGCCTTCCCCTCAAAATCCGAGGGCAGAATTCCTGTTCCAAGCTTCGCAAGCGAGGAGGAGAGATCAACAAGTAGAGGATGCACCTGGTCCACCGCAACCATATTCAGCTTGAGCGAATCCATCGCAGTAATAAAGTGCTGAACGCACTCGGCCACTGCAGCAGCAGAGGTGGCGTTAGCTGTAGAGGAGAACGAGCGGTGCTCGACAGTGGCCGGAACACCGGAGACAAGGAGACGGTTGAGAGCGGCGGGGCAGTCCATCCGGTAGGCTTCTGCAAAGCGCTCGATGGAAGGAACGGCGTCGCGGAGGGATGAGGAGAGGGTCTTGAACTGAGCAATGAGCTTGAGGCATTCCGATTCATAGTCGGAGGAGGAGACTAGGTCACGAACATAAGCCTTCTCGAGTTTCTCCGTCGTCTTGATGATACCGTAGAGATCCGCGAAGGATTCGTACATCTCCCGCTCCCTTTTGTCGTTCCACAAATTCACTTTCACTTCCATGGCTGCGATAGATGGCTACGATCGATACCGATAAGATCTGGACCTTCTCCAATCGGATCAACAGGAGCAAGGGGGCTGGACGGCAAGGGGACTGGACCTTCTCCGACTGGGGCAAGGGGGCTGGAACTTCTCCGATCGGATCAACAGGTGGCAAGGGGGCAGGGAACGAAAAAAGCATCTACTTGCATACCACCCGATTGTTATCTATTTACTTATCTAGAAGCAACAATTCATTTTTTACATACACACACAAACATACATATATATATATATATATATTATTTCCAGAAAAATTAAAATCTAGACGGTTAAGACCATTTAAAGTAATTAAAGTCCATCAATATGGAACTATTGTTATTAAAGATCCTAACACTGAAAAGATATTTAAAGTTAATGGGCATCGATTGAAACATTATTATGGAGGGCAAATACCACAATTTAAAGAAGTTTTAATGTTAAGTCAACCCAACTAAACAAATGGTAGGTCGGGCTGACGATGTTAAACCAAGTGTTTCATGGGAGGAAACCCATATAAATATATATATATATATATATATTATATCTATATCTATATGCATCCCTAAATTTTATATATATAATTTTAGGTTTTAGATATGTAAATACCTAGAAAGTTGATTGGTAAGTAGGTAAATCAATGCAAAATTAATCAACTCATTTTAGTATAACTTAAAATGGTCATTTACACATGCCAACCACATCTTATATATTTACACATTGATATTTCAAATTCCTCAACACATAAGAAAATACTATTATTGTGGACTTCTTAAAAGATAAATACACATTTTCAAGAGTAGTTTGTGACACTAAAATGTTATAAATATAAATATCAACATTTATATGTTAGATATGTAAATAAAAAAAATTGTATGGTATGTATGTTGATTTTCCTAACTTTTATTTCATATTTCATGCGCATTAAAGATTCATAACAATTAATTTGATTAATATAAAATGTCATTCAATGTGTACGTGTATATGTATGTATAATTGTATAGCTTCAAAAAAATTGGTTGATTTCAAGTCAATCTCAATTTGATGGCATTTATATATTTCAATTAAATACAATCAACTTCTAAGGAATTTTTTTCATCTACTATTATCACATGATAATGTCACCAATGAACAATAACAAATAACATTAGATAAGTTAAAATTTATAGGTAAATTTCTTTTAATGTATTTGTTATAAGCTTTGATTTAATGCAACATCTCATAATCACAATTTAAGATGACCAAAGTTTTAAAATATAATTTTTTTTCTTATAACACTCCTCAATAAGAATAAAGATAAAGGTCAAAACTATTAGAAATATAAAGCTTGTATTGTCATGGCATAATATCAATCAAAAAATAATGATTGTTATATATACATAATTCATGCTTTTAACTTCGATATCTCCATTGCAATTAGCACTAGATGTTGGATCGCTTTTTTTCATCATCACACGTATACTCAAACAAAATTGAAATTGTTAGATACATCACTTGGAGAAATGCCTTCAATATTGACTACAACCTTATGAAGGACCAAACGAAGTTTCCTTAAAAAGCTTCGGTTCAACCCTGCCTCAAGCATTAAAATTTTAATTTGTTTACTTCCTTAAAATTATAAGATCACCAGCTTTATATCATCTAATTCCAAGCTCTTACAAATCAAAGTTTTTAAAATTCTTTGCTCTAACTTCAAATTCTAATAAGGTCATTATGTTCTCAGACAATCAAGTTTGTAGTATCCTATTTTCTCCTTCAAGAGCTTCCTAAATTATTTACCTCATAGCAAAATTTAGCTTGTGCTTCTATCAATTCATATCAAGTATTGTTGACTTCTTTGGAACATAAAGAAAGAAAAATCATCATCGATGATGGTTTGACTTATCTTCTTTATCTTCGCATTCTATATATGTTCTTACACATTGTGAACATATTTAATCTTAGATAAACACCATATTCGTTCATTTAGAGCAATATGTAGTTTAAATCAACATCACGCTTACAAATTTTTTGAATTATTTAAAGTTTTTTTGGTAAAAAATGACATTTTTTGGTAAATTAAATGTATTTAACAATCTAAAATTTATTTTTTTAAATGTTAAAACTAAAATAAGAAAATAAAAATTGCTTAATAATTAAAATTACTAGAGGCACATTGTTATGTGCAGCTTGGCACTTGTTTGACATTCAAGTTTCAATTTTGATATTTTTGGATCTCCACAAAGTTTCTACAACCAATTTTTAGCAAATAAAAGGAGCATGTAGTCAAATTTTGTTAAGAATTTTTGTTATATTAAAAACCAACTTAATAGAAGCATAAAATTATAATTTAGAACGATTTACTTAATTCACGATATTAAGGGAAGGTCGACATTTACTTCAAGAAGTAACAGTGTCTTAAAATTATTTTATAACTATAATTTTGTTCAATGAAGTTTTCCAAAAACTTAAAAGTATTTTCAAACTATGTTATTTTCTACGTCCAAAATATAAGGCAAATGATATTGATGCGAGAGCATCCCACGAACATGTTATAATCCAATCCTAGGTTTTCAACAAATCCTATCATGAAGTTTTCCCGGGTTCCAAATTTCACAATTTACTGTTTCCATATTCTTTTCACTCAAGTTATTTCTTATTTCTCTAGTTTCTAGTTTGTTCTTTTCTTCAAGTTCTTTCTTATTTCTCTAGTTCCTAATTCAGTATACTCTATTAGGGGATTTTTATGTGTATTGGTTGTTTAGATTTCAGTTTTGTTGGTTTATGAATTTGAGAGATGTTTCTCAGAATTTTTTTCTCCGGAGTGTTGTCTTTATCCTTGTGCGGATGTTATGGTGGAACCGTCTTGACGCCTATATCTCACTGATTCAATATTGGACTCATATTTTTAATCAGGACAACTATCAAATGCCTATCCCTTTCCAAACATCGTCAATCTCACATATTTTTATTATCTCACTAGTCCATAATTATATCTCGTAAAACATCATTCCAAAATACCTTCTAGGAGTTCTAAGAAGATATCATCTAGTATAAAAGCCCAATAATAAAAAAAAATTGGGATTTATCTTTTTTTCCTTAAATCCAAAATTCATATCATTCATACTTCAATTTATAGCCATAACCCTAAATCTTCAAAATCCAACTTTCTACATTCACTATAATTCCACTATAACACTAACACTAAAATATTAAACACTAACACTAAAATATTAAACTTTAACCAATTTTAAATCTACAATTCTACACCCGCCTAAAACCTTATCGAGAGAAAAGGACATAATGCCGCTTAGGAGAAGTCTACAATGAGGTGTCTAGGATCTTACTATGAAGGATACACAATGAAAATTTCAACTACAACAAAGATTTGTCACATTTGAGAAGACACAAACTGGTGAGATCACCCACATCCACAACAGTGACTCATCAAATCAAGAAAAGGAAGTAAATCATTTTCACTAGGCAATTGTTAATGATGAAAAATTAATACCTCGATGATTCGACTTGAAATATCAGAGAAACCAAGATCTACGAGTAAAGGTAGATTTATCAAATTTTGACAGTCACATGAAACAAATGAGTGGATCGAGTGGCTATAGTTAGTTGAGCAAATTTTAAGCATGAGGATGTTCCTCAAGTCAAGAGATTTAAATTAGCAGCCATCAAGCTCACAATTTGAGTGCACTCACATTGTCTGGTTGGCTATGATGAAGTTGTGAGGTGGTGATGCAACTTTTAAAGTAAAGATATTTCATGATATGTTTCTATTAGGAGCTTCTAGGTGACAATTTGTGAAAGCGAATGGGTTCCTGACCATGAGTTGTAGAGCTTTTTAACCACCTTTGCATTTCTATAAGTTGTGTAAACCTAATAAAATATTAAGCTTATATATACACTCGGAAGATGGTAGGTAGACATATGTTCCTTGTTAGCACAAAAGTTAATACATAATTCTATAAATTCTTCTACTGTTTATGTCATTATCTTCATTGCAAGAAGAAAATGATTTTGATTATATAAGAGCTTCCCAAAATTTAACCAACCTCCGTAGTTTATGTTTTTATTTAATTTAGTTAACTTTAATTTTAGAGTAAAGTGGTGAATTTAGGAAAATCAAACCTTTTGGAAATTTCAGGCTAAGATGAGTCATTGAAGACTAAAACTTTTACTGAATTCAATACGAATTAACATCTTTCCTGTGGGATAAATACTCAGGGTTTTTGAAAGAAAGCTCTATATTACTTGAAAGATACGTGTACTTGCATTGTATCCCTAGTGTGTAAAATTGAATTATGGAGAAAAAAGAGAATTATTTGTTAAATAGTACTCAGTCGGGAATTAAGGGTGTAGGCACACACAGGCAGTAGGAGACAAGTTTTTTAGCATTATTGTTTGGAATTGAAATTGAAGTAATTACACATGAAGCATGCACATATTGTCAAAATCTAGCATGATTAATTTATTTTCTCTTTTGCACTTGTATATGGATAAAATTACACTTTAAACAAGAGTATTTTTATGTTTTTCTTACACATACAACACATAGGGAACTAGAACGAATTGGAGAATAATTGGAGCAAAGTGAAGGTGAAAAGCAGCTAAAGGAAAAATTAAAGAACTGACACATAAGCACCAGCCTTTGTGCTCCTAGGCGCCAGAATCCATCTGACCAGACAGAGAGCTTGGCGCCTAGGCCCCACCCTTGTGGTGCCTAGGCGCCAGCACGGCCTACGGAAGTTCCTGTAGTTTTCTCCACATGATTCGAAGAGTTATTTGGCGCATATAGACATTTCCATGGAGCATTGTTGGTGACTTTGGAAGGGTTAAACTCTTTAGAATATTGGGGAGAAGTTCTTGTGAAGCCTAGGGTAGGGATTTTGCTATAGTAGGCCAGTTTCTCTTTACTTGTCTTGAGAGTTGGTGAGGAACTTGTGTGTCATTGTAAGGGAAAAACTTAGCATTGCAGGAGGTATTTGGAGATCCTTTGTCAAGGAGTTTCATCAATTTTGCAGGGGAAAAGTTAAGTATTTTGTTCAATTTCATCTTGTATTATTTGTAAACACAATTCGAGTGGATCTGCTTTGTTTAAAAGGATGACTTGTATTGTTTCCTTCATGCATTGTATGTACTTCCTTTTTACCTTTATCTTGTGATGAATAAGTAGGTGGTGTATGATTGTAGGATGCTTTTATAATTTGTTTTAAATCTTTAAT